ATTGTTGGTAGCAAATATGGTGTTCTGTGGACATTTTGTTTGAAATACATTTAAATTCATACAAATTTTGGGCAATATGAGAGTTGTCGGAATCCCATAACTCTGATGCACCATATGAATATATTGTGTAACAAACAACACACACAGTGGAGGAGCAGAGCTGTTTCTTTTATGATGTAAAGTTCCACCCATGGCACCAAGAAAAAGATGCTTGATGGCTAGGGGACAGCCACAAAATCAAAGAAAAAAAAGAAATAAATCAAATTGTAAATAAATAAACCAAAGTTCAGCTGCACTGAACATTTCAAATATGCAACTGAAATGTAACCAAACACTCAACAAGCAAACATTGACCGAATGTTAATAAATTTGCACGATAAAACATTTTTTTCAGTCCAAAACAATTCAATCAAACCAAATCTTTCAGCCTTGCACAACTAGTATAGTGTTTTTAGAATCTCAGAAACTGCTGATAAAGATTTTCTACGCATTGCATTCTCTAGAGTTTACAGAGAAAAAAGTGAAAAATGAAAAAAAAAAATCTAGTGAGAGACAGTTCTATGAGCAGAAACTAAAGAGTTCAAACTAGTTCAAACTGACAGCAATATAAGAGTAATACAAATAACCATGTGTCACAATAAGGCTATGTTTGAGATCATCTTTAAACCTTGAAGTGAATGGGCTACAACAATACAAGACCATACTAGGTTCCACATCTTTCAGCTAAGCATAGGAAACTAAGGTTGTGGAGCCTCAGAGTAAAAGAATGGAAAATGTTGCCTGGTCTGACCAATTTTGATATCTGTTGTATGCAGATGATAAGGTTTTAATTTGGCATGAACACATGAATTCATAGATCCATCCTGACTTGTCAATAATTTAGAATGAATGTTAATATTTACTTGGCACACATTAATTTCTCAATGACACAAGATGTACTGGTACATCATAGGTTATAAGGCAGAAAGGGCCCATCATGTTCCACATGTCTTACAGTTGTAGTGCTGCCTCTTTTTTTTCTCTCTTTCTCTCTCTCTTTTCTCCCTTCTCTTCCTTACTTTTTTCCCCTCTCTCTGAAACTCCCAATAGGAACGTCTCATAAGACGTCTTCTATTTACTCACTTCCAACATTTCACCTCCCACATCACAAACACTCAAACCACACGCACTGTTCTTTACCACAACACTGCAGATGCTCCAATAACACCATCACAGGACACGTTGTTAACCGAAGGAATCTTTAGGTGGCAGGTGACATCTCCTCTGGGGAGTCTCCTTACCTTCGAGAGGTCCCAATCTCAGTCTACTCAAAGCTTAGGCCGAGCCTTTAGGAACGCATAAACCCGTAGCAAGACAATATCTTGCACGGCCTAACCAGCATACCAATAGCTTCTAACTTTTCTATAAATGATTACCAAAGCAGGGCCTGATAGTAGCCTTCTTGCCACTGGCGTACATACTGTGGTAGCAGGGGTCACAGCTGCGAGAGAGCCTGTCACTCCTGCAGACCCCTGTGACTGGGTACTCGCCATTATCTTTTGTGGCCCCGGCCCGCGCGGCAAACCGCCGGGGCCGCCATCCAAGGGGTCCATCGGGTGGCCCATGCTGTCAGGGCCACCCGATGGATATGGATTGTAAGGGGGCCCGGTCAGCGCTGGGCGCTTTAACAGCGCGACTGGGCCCCCTGTGATGACATCACAAGCTGGGAGGAAGTGAGCGATGTCACTCCTCCCAGCTAATACTGAGAGCCGCGCGGGAGAAAGACCAGGGAGTCAGAGTAGGAACTCTGACTCCTATCCACCTGAGCCACCACTGGACCCCAGTCACCCTCCTGCACCTAAGAGGTAAGAAACAGGAGGGTGACTTAAATATTGTGAGTGAGTGTGTTTGTATGTATGTATGTGTGTGTGTCTGTCTGTGTGTGTGTGTCTGCCTGTATGTATGTGTGCCTGTTTGTATGTGTCTTTGTATCTATGTGTGTTTGTCTGTCTGTATGTGTGCCTGTCTGTGTATGTATGTCTGTGTGTATGTGCTTGTCTGTTTGTATGTATGTATGTGCGTCTTGTGTGTGTGTGTATGTTTATCTATGTATGTATGCCTGTCTGTATGTGTGTGTCTGTCTGTATGTGTGTGTGTCTGTCTGTCTGTGTCTGCCTGTGTGTATGTGTGCATGTCTGTTTGCATGTATGTATGTGTCTCTGTCTGTATGTGTGTCTGTATGTGTCTGTGTGTCTGTCTGTATGTAGGTGTCTGTCTGTGTGCCTGTATGTGTGTGTGTCAGTCTGTATGTGTGTGTGTGTGTGTGTGTGCCTGTCTGTGTCGGTCTTTATGTATGTGTCTGTGTGTGTGTCTGTCTGTATGTATATATGTGTGTGCCTGTTTGTATGTATGTGTGTGTGTGTGTCGGTGTGTATGTGTCTATGTGTGTGTGTGTGTGTGTCTATGTATGTATGTATGTATGTGTGTGCATCTGTCGGGGGGGAATATGGAGGGGGGTGGAGGGTGAATAGGGGAGGGTGGCCCACAGATCAGTTTCGCACCGGGGCCCCATGGATTGTGTGTACCCCACCGCTTCTTTCACTAATGATCGGTAACGTACCCATGAACTATACCGCGTAAAGAATTTATAGGCCTAAATTTCTAAATTATTTTACAGTTTTAATGACCTGTTATTTTGTGTTCTGTTTCTTCATGTCATGATATACAGCAAATGTGACTATTCCGACACAGTCAATTATCTCTACCTTCATATTGTACTTCTATTTTTGTTTACATATCTACTCTGTATGGGTACAAAACTATGAATTAAAAAAACAAAACAACATAATGTGCTGTAACTCCCATGAATTTAGCCTTGCAACACTTACATTGATTTAATTAAAACTGTATGCTCCAAAGATTATGTGGACAGAATGCAGGTGTATATTTGCAGACTTATGTGCACACAGTCCCACAGTCAGATGCACAGAGTTATACATATACACTGTCAAATCCACCACATGCATATAGTCGCAGGCAGATAGTCACATACACAGGATCAGGCAGAAACACACGGGTACAGGCAGTAACATACATAAACAGTTACAGGTAGATAAACACACTCACACACAATAATAGGCAGACAGCCACACACACAGGCAGACAGCCACACACACATACAGTGTTACACACATACACACACACACACACACAGCCACACATACAGTCTTACACACACATACTTACATGCAGTCACACACACAGGCAGACAGCCATACACATACACACAGGCAGACAGCCATACACACACAGGAAGACATCCACACACACATAGAGGCAGACAGCCACACAAACACACACAGGCAGAAAATCACACACACACACACAGGCAGACAGTCACTCACACACACAGAGGCAGACAGTCATACACACACACAAACACAGGCAGACAGTCACACACACACACACACACAGGCAGACAGTCACACACAAACAAACACAGGCAGACAGTCACACACACACACAGGCAGACAGTCACACACACACAGGCAGACAGTCACACACAGAAACAGGCAGAGAGAAACACACAAACACAGACAGACAGTCATACACACACACACAGGCAGACAGCCACACACACACACAGGCAGACAGTCTCACACACACACACACACAAACACAGGCAGACAGTCACACACACACACACACACACACACACAAACACACACAGGCAGACAGTCACACACACACATGCAAACACACACTCACAGGCAGACAGTCATACACACAGACACACAGGCAACAGTCATACACACACACAGTCAGACAGTCCTACACACAAAGACAGTCACACTCACACTGACAATCACACATAGTTACCTCTGTTCATTGTGGAGGCAGTGCAGCTGTTATGCGGCACGTTTAGCTCCACCCCCACCGTCAGTTTCGCCCCATCGCACGGGAAGCTCCACCCCCACCGTATGTCCAGTCTTTGTTAGTAGCCACTTAGTCACATACACTGGCCAAAGTTAGCATTTATATTTGTTTGTGTGTTAAAAATTATGAACGTTAATTTTGGCTAGTGTTTGTGACTAAGTGGCTACTAAAAAAGACTGAACATACCCCATTTGTAATACCTTGGGTTGTCTTCTTTTGCAAATGATATGCCATCATGGGGGTAATTGAAGATTATGCTAGCTTTAGTGTACAGATAATCTTAATTTTAATAATGACAGGAGGCGAGTATTTTGCATATTCTTTCTTTACTATCTCCATAGCAGCAAAGAAAAGAGTGACAAAACTTTTAACCAATCACAATGTAGAATAGGGTATAAGAGGTGTGACCTATGACATCATTTCCTCTTTAAAAATTGCGACATCACAAGTTCATAAATGTAGAAAATAACAGAACAACTGAGAAGTCCATAGAACAAGAAACTGGAAACTTAATCAGAATAAATTGAACCGGAACAGGTAGAATGCAGATGAAGGCGTCTCCTTCATCTGAAACGATGGGCTACCAAGACCTGATGATGAATCTCCTGATGCGATGATGACGACATCTTGTATGGAGACTTTAATGATTCCGTGTAGCTTCTGGTTAAGCTGAAACGAGAGTATAAGGTGCGTTAGAGTCCAGAAGTGATTGTATAAAACAAAGGATGTCTGTCCCGTAATTCAACTTTAATATCGTCTAGTAACATGATAATAATAAACTAAACGTCCTCCCTTAGAGGTGTTAAATAAGTATCCCACCCAGACAATATATATATATCTCTATAATGTAAATAAGGCATTTAAACAAGAGCTACCGCGTCAGGTATTATACCAACATATGAGAGAGCAAAGTGTAGTAGGTAGAAGTGAAAATAAAAAGGGAGGGAAGAACGAAAGAGAACAGGGAGGGAAAATACTCGCCTCCTGTCATTATTAAAATTAAGATTATCTGTACACTAAAGCTAGCATAATCTTCAATTTTATCACATGACAGGAGGCTTCGTATTTTGCAATTTCAACGCTGTGAAAGAAAAGCAAATGCCGGATTATCAAGAGGACGAAAGTAGAATGTCCTAAAAGTAGATTCTCTGGTCCAGTCTGCCGCTCGTAAAATGTCCGAAAGGGACGCGCCTGCCGCATAAGCGGAAGAGGCTGCTGCCCCACGAACGGAGTGTGCTCCAAAAGTTTGGTCAATACCGGCAAGGGATAGTAGCCATCTAACCCATCTGGCCAGTGTAGTAACCGAAACCGGACCATAAGGGCGGACGTAAGAGATGAGAAGCTGATGAGTGGAAGGCTGCCGCAACGTCGCGGTGGCTTCCACGTATTGACGGAGGGTTGAGACCACGCAGAGTTGAGGGTCAGAAGGGAAGAAAGGGTAGAAAACCCAGTGAGAGTTGGACTTAGTGCGACGTGAGATCCGAAAGGTGACACCCGCCGGACAGAAGGTAAACGCGTTGGCGTCAATGGCGCGTACGTCCGCTACCCGTCGAAAGGAAACCAGACAGAGCAGGAGGGTGAATTTTGCGGTAAGCTGGCGGAGTGATAGTTTCTCGTTGGGAGGCCAATTTCGTAAAAATTGAAGGACCACACCAACGTCCCAGAGTCCCATAGAATATTTAGGTTCCGGGGGGCGCCGTAGGCGCATGCCGCGGAGAAGTCTGCAGAAGAGCGGGTCCTTACCAACAGGAATCCCCTGTGTCAGAGTATGAGCCGCTGAGATGGCTGACCGTACCACGTTGATGGAACGGTATGATTTTCCGGCAGTGAAAAGTGAAGTCAGGAAATTCATGATGGAGTGAGTAGGTGCAGTAAAGGGATTGAGGTCCCGTCCCACACACCAACTTGTCCAGGAGTGCCATGCTGATAAATAGCACCTCCTAGTTCCTGGTGCCCATGAATCCCATAGCAGGTCCTTAGTTTCCTGCGATAATTCTTCGGTTCCCCAGGAACCCCGGAAAGAGTCCAGGCCACAAGGGGCAAGCGTTCCTGCAGGACTAGTGGGTGAGGTAGGCCCAATGGGTTCCTGAGGATGGTTGGGGCCTCTGGTAGGAGGAGGGGATCGTTGATTGAGAGTTCCAGAAGGTCCGGATACCATGGCTGGCTCTGCCAGAGCGGCGTGATGAGAATTATTCTCACTCCCTGTAGACGGATCCGGTGAAGGACCCTCGTTATCATTGCGAAAGGAGGGAATGCGTAGGCACCGTCCCTTGGCCATTGTTGGAGAAAAGCGTCCGTTGCGAGGCTCTCCGGGTCTGGGAGCCAGCTGAAGAAAACCTCTGTCTGTCGATTGTTGCGGGACGCGAAAAGGTCTATGTAGAGAGGTCCCCTCTGTGCATCCAGTAGCGCGAAAATATGAGGGTCTAGCTGCCAATCGCTGGCGTCCCGCCAGTGGCGTGAGTACCAATCCGCCGTCGTATTGGAGTCTCCTGGTAAGTGCTCTGCCAGCAAGGTGATGTTGCGTGGTAGGCAGTAGTCGAAGATCTCTTTCGTGAGATCCGCCAGTGTTCGAGAACGAGTGCCTCCAAGGCGGTTGATGTATCTGACCGCTGAGACGTTGTCCATGCGGAGTAGGATGCAGCAGTTGGATCGGTCCTTTGCCAGGCTGCGAATGGCGAAGGACCCGGCCAAGAGTTCCAGGCAATTTATGTGCATCGAGAGCTCTTCGGAAGTCCAGACTCCTCCTGTGGACGTGGTTCCGTCTGTTGCCCCCCAGCCTGAACGACTGGCATCCGATTCCAGCACGAAGTCTGGCTGGTTCCCGAATATGGCCCTGCCATTCCAAGCCTGCATGCAATTCAGCCACCAGTGTAGTTCTTCCCGAACTTCGACCGACATTGGCACCGGTTGGTCATATGTCAGTTGTCTGCGAAGGAAACTTGCCTTGAGGCGTTGCATGGCCCTGTAGTGCAGGGGCCTGGGAAAAATGGCCTGGATGGACGTGGAGAGAAGGCCTATGATCCGTGCCAGTAATCGTAGGGGTATGGTAGTCCGACGAAGGACTTTCCGGATCTCCCTGCGGATTGCCGTAATTTTGGTAGCCGGGAGGTGGAGAGTGCATGATGTGGAGTCTATTACGAATCCGAGGAATTGAACTGATTGAGCCGGGGTCAATGCGGACTTGGGACGGTTGACGACGAAACCCAGAGAGTCCAAAAGGTGTAGTGCGTATTCCGTGTGTCTCCGCAGAGTCTCTGCATCCTCGTCGAGGTAGATGATGCATCTTATGCCTTGGGATCTGATTTTTGCCACTACCGGCTTCATAATCTTGGTAAAACACCACGGGGCCGAGCTGAGGCCAAACGGGAGACAGGTGAACTGCCAGGGGATCCCGTGCCAGAAGAAGCGGAGGTAGGGACGGCTGCTTCTGTGTACCGGAATGGTAAGGTACGCATCTTTGAGGTCCAGACGAGTGAACCAGTCGTCGCGTCGAAGCAAGTCCCGGAGAAGATGTATACCTTCCATTTTGAAATGTCGATATACCACGTGAGAATTGAGCTCCCTGAGATCGATAACGGGGCGAAATTCGCCGGTTTTCTTCCTGACCAGGAAGATATTGCTGTAGAAACCGGTGGCATCCGGAGCCGGTTGGATGGCACCCTTGGAGCGAAGTTCTCGGAGTTCCGCGTCTATGAGACGGGCATCTGCCCGTGTAGTCTGGATTGGACGTGGAGGGGCCAGCTGGAGCAGGGTCGAGTTGAACTCTATTCGATAGCCCTGCACTGTTTGGATTATCCACGCATCTGAAGATAGATCTTTCCAGTTCTGGAAAAAAAGAGAAACACGACCTGAGATATGACAGGGGGTTAGAGGAAGAGTAAGATTCCGACTTACCGTTGGAGAATCTTGCTCGTGAGCGTCCTCGGGTGCCTCGGCCACGATCAGATCCTCTGAATTGGTGGAATCTATTTCGACTAGATGAGTCTGGGTAGAACATCTGCTGAGTCCTTGTTGTACGGGGGCCGGATCGCCAAAAACGGCTGGTGGCACGGCCCCTCTGCCGTCCAGCCCTACCAAAAACACCACGGGTGTGAGAACCGCGGAAGACTTTCCGCATTGAAGTTTGTGCCTTGTTAAGGGACGTGAAGATGTTGACCCTTTTATTTAATTCCTTAAGGAAGGCCTCTCCAATTAATTTACCCTGTGCTAAGGATCCTAATTCCTTGTCCCCCAGTTCGACCAGTTTTTCGTCGATACGGTAAAGTGCTGCTCGGCGCCTCTCCGAAGAGAGGGCTACCTTGGTGTTCCCTAGGAAACAGAAACACCTTTGTGCCCATTCCCGGGTATCTCGTGCCCATTCACGCACCGTATCTGGGGTAAAAGTGTCAGCCCTCTCATAGGCTTCATCCGCCATATCCATGATTCTGGCTAGTGGCCCAATGGCATCTAGCAGTTTGTCTTGCGCTCCTTTAAAGCCGCGCTCTATGCCCTTGCGCTGATCCCGACCCCCTCGGGACATGAATGTAGTCATGAGCGGGTCAAACTCGGGGGTGTGCGTCACTTTGTCTGGTAGACTAGGGCGAGGGCATTCGGATCTCATCCGGTTTCTTACTTCCTTGTCCAGCGATTTTCTGAACCAGAAGTGCATAAACCTTGCCAAATGCTCAGGTGGTGACCATTCTTCCGAACGGGGGTGCCGGATGTTTCTTGGGTCAAACATTTGGAGGCCCGAATTGTGGAGGAAAATCTCCGTGCCCTCCTGTGGGTTATCCATGGATGTTGCCATGGAGTCCTGGGGCTCACCCAGACCCTGTTCCCTTATGAAGTAAGGGTCAGAGTTGGCCGTGGAATCCCTGTCGGAGTCCCCTGGTCAGAGGCTGCCGCCTGCCATTCATCCAGCACAGCTAGTGCCTGAGTGGGTTCTACATCTTCCTCACCTGAGGAAAGTTGTGTGGCATCGTGGGTAGCACGAACCGTGGCTTTCCTGCGATCAGCAGGGGCTTTCCCTTTAGACTTGCGTGGGGTTACATTGCCCTTCCAATGGCGTTTTCGCCGTTGGGAGTGTTCCCTGGAAGAGTCGGAGTCTTCGGAGTCCGCCTTATAATGAACCCGTTTAGAGATGGGCCTGGGGACTTCAGAGTCTGTTTGGAGCGACTTGGAAGCGGCTTGTTCCATAGCTGCAGCCACGGCTGCTGTTATCATGGCCTGGAGGTCTGAGGTTTGTGATTCCTCCATTATAAGGAATGAGGATTCGGGGCTCACCCGGTAAATTGCGTGAGGGTGAGGTGAGGGTGAGGTGGTATAGTATCAGGACTAAATAACCTGTGGTTAGAGACCGGTAGGTCGTAGGAAGAGGAGAGGGCTGTTTCACTGGGGCTCACCCAGGTGATCGGAAACCTGCATGAACAGGACCGTTTAGCAGCGTAAAATGGGGGCTCACCCCGGCCAGAATAAGGTGCAGACCAACTGGCTAAACCAACCCCCAAGTGTAAGGCACTAACCTGGTCCCACTGAGTGAAAAGGGTCAAGGCTTTTCAATTGCTTGCCGGATTAGCTGGAGCAGAAAAAATCAGGCAGTGTCTATCTCTTTAAGATGGCCGCCGGACTGACAGGCTTAGTGTGTGGAGGATAGTACCTCCCCCAGTTTGGGCGGCAAACTGTAAGCTTGCCATTCGCATAATAAAACTGCAGAACGTGCGAATAGAAAATCTATGCGAACTGCCGAACGTGCGAATAGAAATAGATGCGAACGCCTAAAAAGGCGATCGCGTCAAACGGCCGAACGAAGCGTTCGGTTGAAAGAAACGAACAGTCAATGTGCGGTCGCACAGAAAAGACAGCGGGCATTCGTGTCAAACAGGCGAATGCGCAAAACTACCGAATAAAACGTTCGGTAGAAACAACCGAAAGGGTTGTGCGCGAGCGCACAGAAAAAAGCCATTAAAAGAAACAGAGAATATGGAGGGAAAGTACAGACGGCGGGGAAGCCGTGAAAGACAGCTAGGGAGCCAGGCAAGGTCCCCTGGTATACAGATAGGTTAAGAGCAGTAATAGGGCAAATATATAAAGGTACAGTGATAGAACAAAAGGCATGTAAATGAATAAGAGTATGTAGAATAGATAACACAAAATTTAGTACTTAACTTGTGATGGAGCAGCAAAGAAAGAGGAAATGATGTCATAGGTCACACCTCTTATACCCTATTCTACGTTGTGATTGGTTAAAAGTTTTGTCACTCTTTTCTTTGCTGCTATGGAGATAGTAAAGAAAGATTATGCAAAATACGAAGCCTCCTGTCATGTGATAAAATTCTCATTAATGGGCTACCATACACTCTTATAGTCAACATAACCAACCTGGCAATTTTCAATGTAAAAAAAAAATAACCCTTATATATGACCCTGTAACTTTCAAAAAACACTAT